GAAAGACACAGGCCACCATCACGCTTCTACTCCTTTGCTCAGGTCCTCACCTCACAGTCTGTGCTGCATCACGGTTCCCTCTGTGTTATTTTATGCTGTGCCTGTCACTGTGGTATCTGACACCGCTTGTACACTTCAGTATGTACGTCTGCCAGTGGAGCGGTGTTAATTTTCTCTGCTCTGAGCTTTTGAAACTCCTTAGTATTAAGAGATCAGAGCTTTGGGGGTGTGCAAGAAACCCTGAACACAGGAGCCAGTCTGCATTTGCTACTGAGTCATCCCAGCCTAACAAGGTCCTTGTGCCTGAGTCTCCTGCAGGGACACACCTGTGCCAGTGTCAGGCCTCTGCAGGGTTACCGTAATTAGTTACTTGCTCTCTGATATATTTTTGTATTTTCCTCCTGAGCTCTGTTTTTAGAAATGGCGAGAGGCTGGATCTCCAGCTTGTTCTCAGCAAGGCCTGCTTGTGGGGAATGCTAATGAATAAAATGATTGACACGGAGCTAAACTTATTGTGATAAACAAACTCAGCGGATTCATTATCATTAAGCAATAATTTAGAGCAAATGAGAAGATGAAGGTGGCCGCTGCTCTGCGAGCGAGGGGGCTGCTGCATTTGAGTCATCAGATTTGAATCGGCACTGGGTGTGAGCCATCGCCTGGCTGATGCTATTTTTGCTCCTTAACTCGGATTAGGTTTTCTTTAACCATTAACAAGACCAGGCAGGGAATCGGGCAGTGCTGGGAGGCAGGGGAGGTGGGCATCACTTTGGCTGCTTGCTGGAGCAGGTTTTGGGTGAAGAGAAGAATCCTTCAGAGACAAGAAAAGGAACTTGATGAAGAGAGGAGTAGTGTATGGTGCTGGTCTGCCCCTCTGGACTGGGAATCTCTTAATCTCCTGCCCTTCTAGACAGTCTGTTTCAGGAGGTGGGCCTGAATCTGTAGTTGTTTGTTCTTCACTGTAAATTAGCTGGTAGGTCTCCCAGGGGAGAGCTGCCTGGGGGTGGGAGCAGGGGGGAGTGATTCTGTTCCCCACTGCTATGGTGGAGCCAAGCAGCTGTTTAGCTGGGAGTTGGTTTTGCTGCTTTTGGTTCCTGGTACCTGGCAGCCAGTGACTGGGTTCCCACCGCACAGGCTGATGAGATGCCTCCCTCCATACCTGCCAGCAGGAGGCCTCTGCACCACTCTGGAGTTTTGTCGTCTTTTCCCCGTTCTTTTCTCTCTCATCTGACAGCGTTGCATGCCACAGCTCCAGCTGGTGGGTTCCCTCCTCCTCGGCTGTACAGAAGCAAACAGTGGGTGAATGAGAAGAGAAAGAAAGGGGGTCTCGGGGTTGTGCCTTGTTGCAGCAGCGCCTTTGCTCACTGTGCTCCAGCAGTCACAGAGTTGCCCTAGCAGCCAGTTCTTGTCTGGGGAGGAGATGAGCAGCTAACGGTGGCCAAAGAACAGGTAAGGGACTATTTAGAAAAGCTGGATGTGCACTAGTTCATGGGGCCAAACAGGATGCTCCTCAGGGTGCTGAGGGAGTTGATCAGTGCAATTGCAGAGTCATTGGCCATTATCTTTGAAAACTCATGGTGACTGGGGAGATCCCGGATGATTGGAAACGCAAATATAGTGGCCATCTTTAAGAAATGGAAGAAGGTGGATCCAGGGAACTATAGACCAATCCACCTCACCTCAGTCCCTGGAAAAATCATGGAGCAGATCCTCAAAGAGTCCATTTCTAAGCCAGGTGCAGTAGTCTGGGAGATAATCTTCTCTGTGAAGACTGGGGTGAAAAAGGCATTGAGCACTTCAGCCTTTCCTACATCCTCAGTCACTAGGTTGCCTCCCCCATTCAGTAAGGGACCCACGCTTTCCCTAATTGTCCTCTTGTTGCTGACATACTTGTAGAAACCCTTCTCGTTACCCTTCATGTTCCTTGCTAGCTGCAACTCCAGTTCTACTTTGGCCTTCCTAATTTCATCCCTGCATGCCCAAGCAATGTTCTTATACTCCTGCCTAGTTGTTTGTCCAAGTTTCCACTTACTATACACTTCCTTTTTGTGATTTAATTTACTGAAGAGTTCCCTGCTAAGCCAAGCTGGTCTTCTGCCATACTTGCTGGTCTTCCTGCACATTGGGATGGTTTGTTCCTGCACTCTCAATGAGGCTTCTTTAAAGCACAGCCAGCTCTCCTGGACTCCTCTCCCCCTCAGACTGGCTTTCCCGGAGATCCTGCCCATGAGTTCCCTGAGCGAGTCAAAGTCTGCTTTTCTGAAGTCCAAGGTCCTTACTCTGCTGATCTATAGCAGACCCCAGCTACGACATCACCCTTGTTGCTCTCCCCTCTGCCTAACCCAGAGGCTCAACAGGCCTGTTTCCAGCTTCATACTGGAGCTCTATGGATAAATGTAAGGGTTGCATGGGAGCTGCAGTCATATTTTCTCTAGACCAGGGGTGTCAGAGATGCAGTCCTGCTGCTCATTTGGTTTTATATAAGGCGTTGTCTGCTGAACAAAACAGACAAAGATGTGAGGGAGGGGGCAGCAACTTCACTGTGCATCAGCTGGTCCTTGGCAACAGTTTCCCCATGGGGACTAGAATCTAAATCTAATGAAGGAGTTGTCACATTCAGAGGGGAACTGCTTCAGCGTAGTCTCTACTTAGCACAAAATATGAGGAGTCGTATGAAACAGTGAAGCATCTGACACATGGTAAATCCACTACTGGTTTGAACTTGGTATACACATATGTCAGTCTGCCTTCAGCCCTAATGTTTGTATTTCACATATCCTAGTGCTTTACATGCTGATGGTAGACTGTACAAGCAAACGGTGTCGCCGTGGTGTACTCATTAATAGCCTATGGCTGGGATTTTCAGTGAACCCAACTAATTTAGAAGCACAAGTGGCACTGCATGTGTGAGGCAGCCAGACCTGCACTCTACGTCTCTACTCTCCCAGCATGTGCCAGGAATGTCTGAGCAATTGGAGCACAGAGTAACAGCTGAGAATGAGAAGATGGTGCTGCTGGTCCTGATCTTGCAAAGCAGCTGAAGATGGACCAAAGCTGTAACTGTCAGCTGTACTGCTGCTTGTAAGCCATGTAGCAACATCCACTATTAACTGTTATCGAAGCCAAACGCCTTGGAAATGTCTGGAAAAAAAAAGTGAATTACACAGCTTAATATCAATTCTTGCCTTTATTTTCTTTCCACCCATTTTTTTTTTCACTGGGGACTCAGAACAGCTTCAGTCAAAGGTACCTTTGTGAGGCTGATCTCGGATACCTGTTGAACAGCAAATGGTTAGCACAGCAGGAGAGTGGGGTTTCCCCCAGGATTTTAGCCTTCATTTTGAAATACAGGAGAGGACTCGTTAACAAAAACCACACACAGTTTGTCCACGTTTCCTTGACACTGAGCCAGAATACTGGACATCATTAAAAAGGTACAATATTCGGATTTGTCAATTAATCACATAACAGAAAACACATGAATGAAAACACTCTTTTACGGGACTATTGCTCTTACACCTAGATGAAGTGTTGACTACAAATGGAAACATGTAGCTCATTAATGAGAGAGAGTGTGTTCTTACTGAGACCATACCAAGGAAAAACAATCAAGACCTGAAATATACTGTGCTTGAATTCACCTTTAGGTTTTGAAATGTGACGTGGGAGACCCAGGGTGCAGTTACAGGATGCTTATTTGCCTGTGACAAAATATACATAATTTATACACGGAATAGTCCTGAGGTTGAATGCAGCTCTTACACAAGCTGCAGTGTTTTTTCACTTGTTAAATTGTGTACTGAAAAATAATTCTCTCTCTATATTCATTATAGTGCACATAAGGGACTGGGTGTGAGATGGCCTCTGAAAAAGGAACATATAAAATCTTTTACAGCAGATATTTGGGTGTTAACTTCATACAGTATGTGTAATAAACAGAGTATCATTGTTTCAGTGTTAGGCCATTACCTGTAGTCTTGTCAGACAGAGTCTGATTTATATTCAGGAGTGTGGTCAGACCATGTTGACTCAAGTACAAATAGATAGGAACGTAAAAAAACAAAAAGAAGTCTCATTAGAAAACTAGTGTGATTATACAAACTAAAGCCTGGACTTCCTGCAGAATTTCCTTTGGATTTTTTGTTAAAATTCAGGATTGAAGTTTTGTATTGTTCTACCTCTAGGAGTTGAATCTAGAACCATTCTTAAGATGGTGAAGACTTGCTTATTGTCAAAGCATGTCAGGAGTCTGAATACATTTTCTCTACATAGTCTGCCTACCGGCAGTATGTGTAAGAAATAAATGTGCGTCTTGTATGCTCTCTGGCAGGGTTCCATAGATTGAGTTGTCTGGCGTGGGTGTGAGAACTTTTTATGTATTTTGAGAGCAAAAAATGCCACTATCTGAAGACGAAAGCAATTTTAATCGCACAAATTTATATTAAAAATCTCTTGAATTGGCCAATGGTGTACTCGTTAATTAGTCTGCTCATTTGAGCTGTGAATTAGGTGCTGAAGGTGCCTTAAAGTGTTGGATTTTGCATGAGCTGGTGCTGTTTTAGTGGAAAAGGTGAAAAGCACATGTGATTTCAACATCCTTCCTTAAGAGCTTGCTGTCCTGATTTTCCTTTCGGCAAGAAAACCATCTGCTCTGCTTGTCACTTTTTTGAATGCTTATTTTTATTACTTTCAATATTAACAAAGAGCCTTTAATAATGTTTAGGGCAGGCCTTTTAAAAATCCCACACTCCCCCTCATTTCACAAGAAATAAACCAGCCAGGACTTCTCCTTTTTTCATGGCATTTTTTTTTAGGTGAAGGCTTTTCTCACATACATGGTAAACCTTGATAGAAAGCATTTAACAGTGTGCACTAACAAACTTGTACAACATATACAGTACATATATATATTTATATATATAGAACATTCTATATACAAACATATACAACTTTTTAGATCTCTACAGACTACGAGAAAATTTATAGTTATAGTCACAAGTGCTGAACATAACAGGAGGAGTCATTTGTAACTGTCTGGAAAGATGTAAAGTATGCAAGAGAGGAAAGCAAGACGCACCTGTGACCTCATGGGCATTTTAGAGAAAAAGATGCTCAAACAAAACAGGCAAAAACGTTCAGGCTGGAGGAAGATGCTAAATTCTTGTTGATTTTCTGTCAAGAGGAGATGCAAAGTGTGAGCTACTGCCTGGCCTCCCCCCTCCTTGTACAGCACGGCGTAAGCTAGAGCAAGTCATGTGTGGCGTAATGACTTGTTGAAGATGCGGTTCCCTCTGGGCGCACTGTAGCAGTTAATTATTAAATTGTTCTTGGGTTGGTGCAACTGATGCAGGAGTGAGCGAGCGAGGACAGAACACTATCGCTACCTCGCAGAGAAACAAGCTGAGAAGTTACCTAGAACTACCTGTCAGCCCAGTCACTTACCATCATTTGCGTATTAACTGCTACCCAGCTGAGCAGGTCTCCCACTCCTCTGCCAGGTCTCTGGTTGCTGCAGCATTCCACTGGTACCAGTCAAGATGGCGAGCCTGGCACCAAACCCGGACCAGAGCTGTCCTCTTTATACTAGGACACCAGGGGTATGGTACAGCTCGGAGCCTGGTGGAAGGACTTTCCTCAGTCTGTATGGCTGTGCTCCTGCCCTGTCCCTGGGAAGGGATAAAAGCTGTCTCCAGTCCTGCAGTGCGGTTAGGAAGAATGGGCTTTACCAGGGGTGGGCTTGGGAGGTGGATGCGTCCACTGCGGGAAGTGGGCTTTTGCTGCTAGGAATATTAGTGCTTTGGTGGCTCAGCCTGGAGCAAATGCACCACTCACAGTGGAGGTGGCCACACCATCAGGCTGCTGATGTTGCTGCACTTCATAGGGTAGTTGTGGGATGTAGGTGCCAAGGAGCAGCTGGTTTCCCTCCAGCAAGTGAGGGCCAGGGAGACCACTTCCCACCCAGTCCATGAGCCTTCCCCTGCAAGCCTGGTGGTCTGCCATGTGCTGGGCCACTAAGTTATTTGTTAAGCTTTGAGCACTGGAGCTAAGCAAAGCCCAGGCCTGTGTCTGTGCTGTCTTCAGTGCTCACTGTGACTGCTATTGTTTTGTGGTGCAGGACACGCACCCGCTTGCCCAAGTCAGCTGTAACTTGGCTCGGCATTGCTCTTCTAAGCTGTGAAGAGACTTACCAAGGCTGCAGGGCGCTGAATTCCTATCCAGGTGTAACAGGAATCTGAGCTGAGCAGCCTCTCAGACCTAGGCTGTTTCCTTCAATCCCGCAGCCTGTGCAAGGGTGAGCCCTGCGTTCGGAAGCCTAGTTAAATACCGCAAAGGGCAATTTTCTCTTGTGAGCAGTGAAGAGCTGAGTAGGAACAGAGGGTCTGAGAGCAAGCATGGGAGCCTGAGTGGTGCTTTCCATGGAGAGGCAGGATCTAGGACAGTGTCCTGAGGCTACCAGTGCCCCATCCACTATATAGACCTGCGTGAAGGAAAGTGACTAGGCCTGAGCTAGCCTCTGCATCAAAATTTTACAGCTGCACCTACCTGGGGGGCACCAGCCATTGCCCATCATTCAGGGAGACTGAATGTAGGCATCTCTCCCACACTCCCTACTCATTGTGCATGTGCCTGAAAACAGGACTTGGGTGCCTCATTTCTAAGCTGACTGTAAGCTCCACAGTTGACTCCCCCTATGACTGTTGTGGACGTGTTGATGGTGCAAAGGGTTTTAACAGAGCAGGAGCGAGAGGAGTCAAAGAGCAGGTGTTCTGTTCATGCACCGACGATAAAATGCTACAAGAGAGACCCAGGTCAGATGTGCACAATAAGGGGAAGGAAGAGCCCCCAGTGGAATCAGGGAGTTGCTTACTGCAGTGACACCTGCTTGCCTTTCCCCATCTAAACAAGAGGCCAAGTTCCCCACTGTCTTGCTGGCTGTGCTGGTGAGGGGCCCTGCTGCTGACTCAGGCTCCTCAGTGCTGTGCTCCCCATGGCAGGGTGTGGAGTGGTGCAGAGCCAGGCAAGCCAGGGGAGGAAGTGGTCTGTGCACAATTCAGTCTGCAGGGCTTTGCAGATGCCTCTTAGCTGCTTTGTTCTGTATCCAGCTGGCTTTAAATTGGGTTACCCGGCAATTTCCTAAGCATTATCTGAGTATAGCTTAACTTCCCTGCAAGCTGCTGAGCGGCTGCAGTCTATTGGATGTGACAGGACTCAGCAGCTTGTAGCACCGCACCCTCTAGTTCCTCCAGCCGGAGCAGAAATTACTTCCTGATAGTCTCTTCTGCGTCTCAGCCTGACTAACAAGGCAACCAAGTGATTCAGAATCTCCTAGGGTGATAACTGCGATAAATCCAGCCAGCAAGGGACACGGCCAGCCAGCAAGAACCCTGGCTCTGCACAATGGCAATGCCTGTACCCTCCAGGCTGCAGAAACGCTGTGAACTCAAGCTCAGGTGACATCCCAAGTGGGGCCTTTCTAGACACCGAACAAAGCAATGTGTTGGCCGTAGGGTTTTGACGCTGGTTTATTCTTCTGCTAGGAATTAAACAGCACTGCTGGCTGCACGCTAAGGTTTGCCAAGGGAAAAAAATAGCAGCAAATGAGAAAATGCAGCTCACCTCGTGTTTCTATTGAGAGCAGCAGCGGCCATGCTCCAAATGTACTGGCTTTTTGAACTGTGGTTTTTAAAAATAAAGATTTTTGCTGTTTTAAGTATTTTTTTGCTCAGAATAGAAATAAATCCCATTTTTTCTTAGGTCACAACATGCTTTCTTTTTCTGTTTTGTTTTTTTTTCTTTTAGGATGTCAATTCGTCATGCAAATTTTTATTTGTTTTTATAAGTGCATTAACATTCTAGTTTGTACAAGATATTTTTAACCAGAGATTCTCCCCACAGTTCGTAGCTAGAGTTTCTGAAAAACTACATGCCAAAGTGACTGTTGAGTTCTTTTTGGAAAAAGACTACCTACATCATGTGTTTGGACTAAATACCATTCCAGGCTCCATCTTGCAGATGGTGAAACTTCTCCTCGACCCCCAGGGGTGGTGAATCCGATGAGTAACAGGAAAACGTTTTCTAGGAGAAAGTTTTGCTTCTGTCCAGTGACTGGCATTGTTGGGAGTAAGCTCCGTATCCCCGAACAGTGTTCTTACCCAGGCCAGGTGCAGCTTCATGGCAAATCTAAAACTGGTACCATTTCTTGTCCTTGTATTTCAGCATCAGCTACAGAGATGGGATATAAGCAAAATGACAGTGAGCTGTGAGCACTTGCTCTGCAGGTGATCCGGTTTGTACCAAGTTATTCTGTGCTATACCTCCACCACTGTAGTGGAGCTCTACCACTCCAGAGTGAGGTTGATTAATTGCCGCAGCTTTCATAATGTGATTGCCACTGCAAAAGCACCACAGCAGCATACTTTTCTGCTGTGAAATACTTACCTTGCACCCAAAGGCTGCTTTAACTTTCTCTTACGCCTCGGCAAAGAATGTCACTTACCCATCGTTTTTCACTGGGGAGATGCTTCTTGGGAATTTCTCTTACAGATCTCTTACATCAGACTAAATAGGAACTGCTAGAGACTTGCTGTTTGCTACTCCCTGGCACTGGTATACACTCGATGTGTCCTATCATCTGCCAGTACGAGCTCTCTTTCTTTCTCTCTGTATTTTACAGTGATTATCCTGTCAGAGCACTTTTCCCTCACAATGAACAGCCAATGACAACAGCCAATAGGAATAAAAAAAAAGCTCTTTCCTGGTGGGGGTCAGCTAGCTGGACCAATGGCTGGAAAGCCAGAATTACAGGTAACTATGCCTTAATGATCTTTTACCTAAGGCAAATTGTTTCTGCTGACTCCTAACCCAAGGCAAGACTGGATGTTGGCACTCTACTGTTTTAAGCAGTTGCATGCTAACCTGGCCTGTCTGGTGCAAACCAGTTTAGCACGACCATGCTCTAGCAGGGTCTGACACCCAGGTCCCTTTGCCTGCTTATTTGCCCCAGGCTCCTTCCCTGCATGCTGGCCTACATCTGTGCTTCCACCCTAGCTTCCCCTCTTCTGGTGGAGGAGATCGTCTACCACACATGGCCTCTTTGACATGTGTGTTTAGGATTGATAGTAACTTTGGCTCTTAAGCTTCCCATAACTGAGCATTTGGCAGTAGAGAGAATCTAAACAAGGCCCTCAGAGACAGTAATGAAATGGCCCTCCTCTTCCATTGCTCCTATTAGATACAAGGCTCAAGAGCTGTCCACTGGAGAGGTGCTGGGTTTCCTGTGTTGGCAGGAGGCACACAGTGAGGGGTCAGTGAATAGCGGGAACAGCCATCTTAATGGCAGGCACTTTGTGCCCTCACCTTCACTGAGAAGATAAGACCCAGAAGCAGTTCTGAAGGAACTTATGAAGAAAACTTCCCAAGTGTGGAGTGAACATAAGCAGAGCAGAAACACCTGCTTGAATTTGCAGAGCCTGACCTCGCCCTGAGGTAGGCAGTGCCCCAGGCTGAGTGCCAACTGCTTAGAAAAGACTGAGAGAGAGGATAGACAGTGTCTAAGACAGAAATGTTGCCCCGGAGTTTCCCATCATCTTGGGGAAGGGGGCAGAATTAGGTGGAAGGGCAGTGGGCTGCGATTGTTATAACGTTCCAGAAGCGGGGGCAATCTTCAGGGGCTCCTGGTCTGGGGCAGGGCCTTGGGATGTGCACAGGCCAAGGATGCCTACCTCATGGGCCTGCTTGGAGAAGGCTTCCGCGCTGGCCATCATGCCTGCCGTCTTCTCATCCAGCTCTCCCAGCCGCTGGCCTCGCTCCTCAAGGGCGACGCGTGCACGAGCTAGGTCTCCAACTACGCCCCCAGCGGCGCCTTTCATCCCTTCGATCCCGCCTGACCCAGGGATGAGCTGGGCGAGGCTCCGGGAGGCTTTCCCAGCGGTTGCCTCACCAACTGGAACGGAGACAGACACTCAGGCAGAGACAAGGGAATGTCCTCTTCCCTCTGCACTGGGCCGAAGCACTCGGTTACATTGCTGCTGACTGGCAGCCTAACCCTCATGGTCCAGCCAGGCATGAGAAGACCCCCCACTCCAGTACTGGGCCCAGCCAACTGGCCAGGTGCCCCTCCTGTTAAGGAAGGAGATGTTTTTGGGCAGAGAGAAACCAAACGTTCTTCAGCACTTTTTCTTCTAGCACAAGGGTGGGCAAAATCCAGCCCGTGGGCTGAATCCAGACCACAAGGCCATTCTATCTGGCCCACGGGGCCCCTAAAAAATTTAGAAAATTAATATTTATCTGCCCTTGGTTCCTGTCAGAAATGACAGAAACCAGGGGCAACAGGACCCAGGGGAAGCCTGGCAGGCTCCCACAACAGCAGGGCCTGCCTGGCTCTGCCCCAACAACCTGGGCCTACCACCCTGCCCGAATATCAGGTAAGGGAGAAAATGGGGGGGAAGGGCAGGGAAGTGGCCCGGGGAAAAACTAGGCAGGGGGTGGGAAAAGTGGCCCCTCGCCCACCCAGTGCCCAGCGCCTCAACCCCGTGTCTAGAGCTCCCTGCTGCAGCTGCCTGCAGCCCACGCAGGGCTGTCTGGAGCAGGCACAGGCAGTCCCAGGGGGGCTGTGAGTGGCTGCAGCATGGGGTGCTGGGCATGGGGCAGGCAAGGGGCCGCTTTTCCCCTCCCCCCCGCTCAGCACCACTTTGTAACTGAGCCCTGCAGCCAGCCTGGGCCCCACACCAGCTCCAGGCTCACCCGTTGGGGCTGTGCATGGTGGCAGCAGCTGTGGCCTCCCACATATGCCGTGCTGGGCTATGTTTGCTGCCATCGCCTGTGGGCTGCCCAGTGCACGAGCTCCAGGTGGGCAGCAGCAGCAGCAAATGCTGCCTGGCATGGCAAATGGAGGGGGTGCAGCTGCTAGCACTGGGGCCCCGCACTGTAGCCGCTTGCAGCCTACGTGGGGCTGCCTGTGCCTGCTCCAGACAGCCCCGCGTGGGCTGCGAGCACTTGCAGCAGGGAGTCCCAGCCGTGGGGCAGGCGAGAAGCTGCTTTTCCCTGTGGTCAGCACCAGCTTCTTTCCTGCCGGCGAGCAGGAGGTCAGGGCTGTGCATTGCCCCCCGCCTATACTGCAGGGCTGGGGGGCACTGGGTGTGAGCAGGTGGGGAGCCAGTGGGAGCACGGGGGCCTGCACCAGTGTCCCAGAATCAGTGCCAGCGGGGCCCAGAGTAGGATGGCAGAAGCACGGGGTCCCAGCTGGCAGGGGCTCTATGGAGCTGGGCCAGCTCCCCACTTTCCCTGCTGGTACAGCCCAGCCTGGCTCCACAGACCCTTGCCAGCCTGTGCCCCGCTTTGGGCCCCACCAGTGCTGGCCCTGGGACATTGGTCCCAAGACATTGGGACATTGGTCCCGAGATGGTGATTAGGGGGCGGGGCACCTGTCAAGGGGTGGGACTACCCATGCAGCCCTCGACAGCCTCCCAAACCGGGTAAGCGGCCTTCCACCCAAAATAATTGCCCACCCCTGTTCTAGCAGAACCTGGAAGGAAAATTCTCCCTCCCTTCTTCTCATTCAGCTTTTGTGGTTACACAAATGGGCCCATTCCTGCCTTATTCCTCACCCCCCACCACTTCCCTCCATGCTTAGGGCAGAGAAGCAGCTATGTCAGCACACTGTGTTTTGTGTTGTAGGAAGCATCACTTACAGAGCTCTTCTCTGTCAAAGTTTTGTCCACTTCCTCCAAACAGCCCCTTGAGAAAGCCTCTGTTCTGGGCTTCTGGTGTTTCCACTGGGGTAAACAAATCCCCAAGCATGTCCTGGCCAAAGGCAGACAAGAAAATGGGTTAGGAGCAAGCAAGGTCAGAATCATTAAAGATGGAGTCACTGATGTGGGCTAGTTGGTGAACACAAAGTTACATTAATCCTGCAGCACCTTGCATTGCAAACCCGGTGCTAGGTGAGCCAACACCTGAATGGCACTAGTCAGCTGGTGAAAAAATAAGCCAGCTTTCCTACTACGTGGAACAGAGCAGGTCAGGCTGGCCAGGGTTACAGCTGAGGGAATAGCGGAGGGAAAAAAGAATGGCGGGCGCAGCCTGTTGGCTTGTCTGCGCCCATTCCCTTTCTGTGTGGCTGTTTTAGTGGAGAGCAAGTTTTGCAATCAATCTGTGGAGGAAGAAACACTGCGGATGAGCTCACACGGCTACCTGCAAGCAGGAGAGGAAGCTGCGTTACCGTGCAAAGCTCTGCTGCGAGTGATGTGTTTTGCCCCCATCGTGTGCCAGCCAATGAGTTCCTGGCTGCTCTGTTTTCCTCACTGCTGTGAGCTTCTGCTCAGTGCTGCTAATGCTTAGGAAGAGGGCTCAGGACGGGCGCTGAGCTTCCACCTTGGAGCTCAGGTTTAGATGTGGCTCGTGTATGTACCTGCTTCTCAGCCAGCTGCTGACTTACTTTTCATGTGGTGCCCACTCTGTGCATTCGCAAGCAGGCCAGAAGCCTGGACCTGGGCGCCAGTGGGTCCCTATACCTCTGCAAATCAGGTTTTCTTTAGACACCCATTCAGGGAGTCCTCTCCCTGGTCAGTGAAGCCCAGTGCAGGGACTGAGTGGAGCAACCATGCCCCATGAGGTTCCCTGGGATGGAGCTGTGATCTCCCCTTCCTCCTGACTTCCCTTGTCCCTGCTCTAGGAAGGAAGCAAATGGCTGCACCCATTCTCTGCAGAGAAATCGTTTCCTTCCTGCTACAGTGCAGGTAGTGTTGGGTGGGCAAGAAGTGCTGGGTGGCCCCCTCTCCCTCTGTACAAGCCAAGACACACGTAGCCCTCAGGAAGTGCAAGGAGCCTCCATTGCTCACATGGCCACATGTGCCCTTCCTTGTCCGCTGCTCATCCTTTGGAGATATGTTCAATCAATCATCCTGGCACCAAGCACTGACCATGTGCCCTTTCTGCCTACTGCTTGTCAGTGCAAGCGTGCCTGAAACCTCAGTCCTGAGAGCAACAGAGCTCCACAGCCATTCCCACAGCCCCAGACATGCTGCTCCCCAAGGCCCAGCAAGGACTGGCAACTCTCTCTTGTTCAGTTTGCACCCCACTTGCTGTTAATCGTACAGCTGAGACCCTGCTTTCCAATTCTGCAGCTCATGCTTCTTTCCAAATAGCCCCGCGCTACCCTCCTGGTTCAATAAATGACATTTTAATTTGCATTTTGATTGTAAAACTCTAACAGGGTGAAGCCTTTTTGCTTGGCATAAATGAGTTTAATTAGACCATCTTCATAGCTGATGCATTTTAATGTGCAGTGCAATGGGAGGAACTTTCCTCATCTGGGAATCGGCAAAGCCAGCTTCTGTGGAAGCAGCTAGTGCAAATCATTCACAACTTGGTCTAACCCAGTAGTGCAGACAGTCTGGGGACTTTAGCAGGTTGAAATGTGGCCTGGCCTGCCTGCTCCTTCAGTCAATTTGCTAAGGCAGCTCAGCTGAGATGGTGGGGCTGTACTTACTGTTAGATAAAAGAAGCAACACTAAAACCTGGGCCATGCGTGGATCTTATGGACTCTACATGGTGGGGAGGGTCCCACCACCGAGGGGGCTCCTTGGTTCCCATCCACTTGTGCCCACATGCATGCTCCACACCTGGAAACACAGCAGTGGGCGTACACAGGCAGGTGCTCACACATGGTGCCAGGGCCCACCTCCACTCTGGTGCAGACAAGTCCCATATCTACCAATACAGACGGACACTTCCCAGTGCCAACCACTGGTCATTTTTCAATCCCCCATGTAATCTTAAAACAAGTCCTCAGAGCCGGGGTTTGGAGTATGCCACCTTGACACAGCAGACAGAACAGGAGGCACCAGAGGTTGCCACTTCCAATGAACTTCCAACTTCTAGCCAATAGCAGGGGGCTGGAGCTACAAGTGGACAATTTAACTGGGGAGACTGAGGACTGAAAACTTCACAGCCGCCAAGGGGTGAGTCCTGCAGGGCCAAAAGTGAATAATGGAGAAAAATGGTCTTTCACTGGAGCTTCACACTAAATTATTTTGCCACTGCAGGAAACTGGTTCTCTTTTCTTTGGAAGTGTTGGCACAAATGGCCACTTCTTTGCACATGTGACGCTGCCACTGGTACAGCAGGACAACCAAATTTTCTTGATGATATTTGGAGCGTAAGATTCCAACGCAAAAATAAAAGTATATCTGGTTTACGAGACCTGTTTGAAGAAAGGCGCAGTTATACTAGGTTTTAAACTGGAAAGCGGGGTATCAACAGGTGACATCATGAGAACGATGCGAGTGGTGAGCTCAAAGCACTGGTGGCACAGAGCTGCTGGCTGCAGTTGAAGGCAGCTGAGCCATTTGCAGCCCTCGTCTGTGGGAAGAGCCCTCCAGCACGAGGCCACTAGCCCTCTAAAGACCTTGCCACGTTACCTTAGAGCTAAGCCGCACTCTGGCTAGCTACATGTCTGGGGCCTACCTGTAAGTTGTCACACATCTCCTGGCTGTAGGTTAGCCGCTGGATCTCTGTGGGAGAGCTGAGATACAAAGCTTGCCCTTCGTTGGTGAAACAAAATGTCCGTGCTATCCTCATATCCGTTACAGGCAAGTAGTTGACATCCAGCATAGGGCGAAGACTGGGCAGGCTGAAGAGGAGCAGATGGTTAGGTGGAATTTGCATAAAGGGACTTTATTTTACTGCACACAGTGCAAACCCACAGGTGGCTTTGTGCTTTCTGGGAACCACATTTTGTAACTTAGTAATGTGATGTAACTTAGCAACCCACTCAACTTGGTGGTTAACTGCAGCAAGTCCTAAGTGGCTGAAGCTAGCTGGGCTAAATGGACATTATCCAGCAAGCAAGAGCTGGTACTTCTGTGATACACTCTCACTGTCAAATGCAATCTAGGCACTAGATGGTGAGATGGCTTTCTAACCCAGAGATCTTCTCTACTACAGCAAAACTCTTATGGCTTTCTTTGAAATGTGTGCACACTAAAAACATCCAGGTTTGCTCTACACAGGGAAATTACTGCCCCCTGAACTAGGCTGTGGATTACAGCACAGAAGTGGTTTAGGACTAGTCCCATCACCCCCCTTGTGGACACTCCTAATGTGTAGCCAGAGTGCCTATGGGCAAAGTCACTTGCTCCAGCTTCAAAGAGGAGCAATCTGTCTCCCACAAACAGATTGGGCTGACGTGCCCATGTGGAGAGTCACTGCAGAGCAGCCAGAGAGCTGCAAATTCACACAAGCTTATTGTGCAATATCCACCCCTGGAAACATGCTCCCTGCCCTGGATCAGCCTGCTGGCACCATGGTGCTGCCGCTCACCGCACAGCATTTGACACCATTGCCTTTCCCTGTTTTGCTACCCGACAGGATTAGGGAAGTACCTCAGTGTCATGATATGCCCGTTGGCGCAGAAGCAAGCCAGGCAGACGCTGTTACAGAGGGTCACCACGTCTGCTCGCAGCAGAAAGGATGTTTCTGTGATGTTATGAATGTAAAGGCATGTCTGGGAAGGCAGTGAGAAGACTTTGGCTTGTTTCTCTGAGCAGACGACTGCAAACTGGTGCTCGCCCATGTCCTGGGAGGTGGAAGGGGAGTGCATGACAAGTTTCCTCTTTCTTGTTTTCTCATTGTCATCTGTGCTGTTTGGATCTCTCCACACTTCATATGGTGGGTGGATCAGCGCTCCCATGCAGTCCAAGCATGCAAAGGTCAGCACTGCTCCCTTCAGCGTCAGAACCGTACCTGTAAAACAAGGTGCTCTCTTATGGGCACATGAGCTTCCACACAGCCAGTTGTCAGCACTGCCCTTGCACATCACCATGCAGGAGCATCTAGGCTTTCCTTTTTAGCACATGTCACAGAACGGTGCAACTCACTCCTCCCATTTTTCCTGGCTGCTGCCCTTTAAGACTGCTGAATCCATTTCCTGGGTGTTCAGCCCCCTCCACAACCTCTGTCACCAGTGTCTGTGGCTCTT